CCTCTGCCCCGCCCCCCATCATTCCCTGCCCACCCCCCTGCCCTGCCCACCCTCTCGGGACAGCGTCTCCAGGATGCTGCGGCAGGTGGACTCCACGTCAGAGATGTACTGCCACTCCTCCTCGGTGGTCTCGGACTGAACTGTGGGGAGGAGGAGGAGGAGAGAGGAAGGCCGGGTGATATAGAGAGCACTTGGAGGGGCAGGAAAGCAGACAGGCGACGAGGGGGGAGGGGGGCAGCTCCCAGCCAGCCAAAGCGCTCACGCCTCCCGATGCACACCCAAGGGGGACAGGAGGCCACACACCCAGTACAAACACAAGCCCTGTCCTGAGGGCTCGTCCAGTTTAAAGACACACCTCCCCGCCCCCGACACCCTTGTTCCAGTACTGACCTACGACACCCTGCTCCCTTTTCCCCGCAGTTACAGGATTTAAGACAAGTTTGGTCAAATTTCGGCCAATTTCGGGTCTTATGATGTCCTTTTCCAGGAGGTGTGACGTTTTCAGCACTCGGAGTTTCCCCCAGAAGCCACTCATGATCAAAATTATAATTAGACACAGGCTCACGGCTGGTCCACCCTTTCCAAAATGGATCAGGGGGAAACCCCCTCCCTCCCCCCAGATAATCCTGCCCAATCCATTGCTGCCTTGAGCCTCGGCCAGCTCCAGATTTGATTTAATTTAATGCGTGTGATCAGATCTGTTTACAGATCTGCAGAGCTGTAAATGGGTCTCCTGCAGGCCTGGGGCTGGCCAGTAGGGGGCAGTGTTTTCAGGCTTGCCAGAAACCGGGAGGGAGGTGGATGGAGGGGAGGGGAGGGGGGGGGCGCGTCGGCCTGCTAATCGCCCCTGTCGGCAGCGGAGAGAATCAGGGCTCTCCCCTGGGGCCGCGGGGGAAAGAGGGGGGGGGGGGGGGGTGGCAGATGGCAGGCAGGCTGGGCGCTGTTAGCGGGGACGCGTCTGAACTCCCATCTGTTCTCTCCCGCCTCTCTCCGAAAACTGTCAGGGGGTGGGGGACACACACACACACACACACACACACAACATTGACCGCAGCACGGATTCCTGGACATACAGACACACAACTCCTCTCCCGTTAGGATCCCGGCGAGGGGGGGCGCTGAGGATTCTGGGAGAAACGCACGTGCTGTGCGTGACAGAATAAAGACTGTTTTTGCCCCCCTCCTGCCCCTGCCCCTGCCCCTGCCTTGGGTGGGGTGTGAGGGGGTGTAGAGCACAGCGGGGGTGGGTGAGCAGGGGTGGGACAAGGAGGGGGGGATCAGGTTGGCCTCGCGTCCGTGTTGCCTTTCAATGCGTGTGCACGTAGGTGTGCGAGTGCGTGTGTGTATGTGCCCGTGTGCGCGCTTCTGTGTGTTTGTGTTGTGTGCTGTATGCGTTTCTGTGTGCCTGCGCAAAAGCGTCTGTGTTTGCATGTGTGTGAACTGTGCGTGTATATGCACAAATGAGTGTGTGTGTTAGCTGTGCGTGTATATGCACAAATGAGTGTGTGAGAGTGTGTGTGTTAACTGTGCGTGTATATGCACAAATGAGTGTGTGT